CCATCTGATCAAGGTCCCGTTGTACTCTGAGATAACCTTCTTCACTGTCCACTACACCATTAGTTTTGGTGTAATGTGCAAACTTACTAACCATACCTCCTATGTTCACACCCATATCATTTATATAAATGACAAAAAGCAGTGGACCCAGCACCGGTCCTTGCAGCACACAGTTTGTCACAGGCCTCCAGTCTGAAAAACAGCCCTCTACTCCCATCCTCTGTCTCCTACCTTCTAGGCAATTTTGTATCCAGTTGGCTAGCTCTCCCTGGATCCTATGTGATCTAAGCTTACTAGCCAGCCTACCATGCAGAACCTTTGTACAATGAATTCCATATAAACGTCTACCGCTCTGCCTTCATCAATCTTGTTTGTCAACTCTTCAAAAAAACCCCAATTAAGTTAGTGAGACCTGATCTCCTGCACACAGAGCCATGTGGACTATCCCTAATCAGTCCTTGCCTTTCCAAATGCATGTCAATCCTGTCCCTCAGAATCCCCTCCAACAACTTAATGCATCATCGATGTCAGGCTCAGCGGTCTATGGTTCCCTGGCTTTTCCTTACTACCTTTCTTAGATAATAGCGCCTCATTTGCCACCTTCCAGTCAATCCAGCAGCTTTGCACCATGGGTTTCTTTTTCTAACAATAACTCATTAATTACCAGATTTATTGTGGTCAGTTTCACTGTTTGCGAAATAAAGGGCATAGTGTCAGGAGATCTGGATTAAAATTCAATCATTGAATCTGCTAGGGACCAGACTGTCAGAAAACCTCACCTCAGGTGTTGCCCGGAGATAGATGATGCCATTGAGTTCAATATTTCTACCAAAGTAGCTGTGTATCCAGCCGTGCCAGTCCTGGTACATTATCCATTCAGTCTCATTGATATACTCAGATTCATAAAGGTTGGAAGCAAAGACATACCTGTGAATGAAATAAAATTGAAATGTAGATGAATATCAGTTGTCGACCTGCTGTTCTGGTTGCTATAAATGTAACTGCCCTGCTTAAAGAAGGCCCCTATAATACATCACCACAGAGAATTGGATCACTCAAGGAGAGGATTTACTCATAATCCACATCAACAGAGTTGCAGAAAGTTTCATAGCACAGAGCAGGCCATTTGGCCCCTCTGGTCTATACTTCACAGGACCCACTTCACCCTTCAACATAACTTTCCATTCCTTTCTCTCCCTGATACTTATTAAGATCCCTTTCCTGTAAAATACTAACAGAAATTTTATCCATTGTCTCTTGACATTCAATGGCAATATTATCACTGAATCTCCACTATTAACATCCTGGGGGACTTACAATTTACCAGAAACTCAACTGGACTCAACATATATACACTGGCTATAAGAACAAGTCAGAGGCTGGGAATCCGGCAGAAAATAACTCACCTCCTGACTCCCCAAAGCCTGTCCACAGGCACGTTCCTTTACAAGGCACAAGTCCAGAGTGTGATGGAATACTCCCCAGGTGCCTGGATGGGTGCAGCTCCAACAACACTCAAGAAGCTTGACACCATGGTTCACTAATGTCCTTTAGGGAAGGAAACTGCCATCCTTACCTGGTCTGGCCTACATGTGACTCCAGACCCACAGCAATGTGGTTGACTCTTAACTGCCCTCTGGGCAATTAGGGATGGGCAATAAATGCTACTCTAGCCAGCGATGCCTTTGTCCTGTGACTAAATAAAAACCATTCAGGACAAAGCAGCCTGTTTCAGTGGCACCCCATCCACAATCTTTAACATTCACTCTTTTCAGCACTAATGCATAGTGATAGCAGGGAGTACCACCTACAAAATACATTGTACTAATTCATCAAGGTTCCCTAGACAGCATCTTCCAAACCTGTGACCAGTATTCCCCCAATTCTTTTTCCATTTGCTTTGACTTCCAATGTTTGTGATGTTATAAATCACAGATTGAGTCCTTTTAAAAACTAAAACCGAAACACCCAAGGAGGAGCACCTCACCCTATAATCTATAAAAGGAGTGTTACAAGTGGTTTAACCTGCCTTTCAGCAGCTTCTAGTGGTTAAATAAAATAAATCCCTGACACTCACTTTATAATCAACAAGTAACAATTTATTTATCTAACTCTAACAGTGAACAAATTAACTAAGCTATTGACAAACTGAATAAACCCCTTCTAACTATTAACTATTCCCGAATAAAACAAGTTTCTAATGGTATGCTGTTCCAATCATTACAGGTCTCACTTATGTAAAATAAAACTTAAAAAAAAGAATTTAGTCTCTCGAAATTACAGCCAGGTTATGCATCCTCCAGAATGCTCTATGCTTTCTCCATCGATTTTCTGTCAGGAATATTAACTAGTTGTGTCGTTGGCACCTTTGATTTTTAGATGGTGCTTTTTCTATGACGTAGAGGATTCTGTGAGAGCCTGAGATTCTCTCTTGAGAGCCGATGGCTGTTAACTCTGGCGGATGGCAGTTCGCTCTCCTATCTTTGTCCAACTGCGCTCTTCTGTTATAACCTTGATGACATAGCAATTTCTTACACTAGGATTGGTCCTATGTTGTCAAAACCATCAGATTTAAATTTAAATTGAATTGGTTTTTGTTGTATAAGTGCCTGGCTTCAGATTGATTGGCTAAATTCAAAACTTATTATCTTGGTAACAAAACAAAACTGCTGCTTGGTCTGCTAACTTTAAGGCCTTTTGATGCAAGTATTTCAATTCAGATGCTCTCTATGCACTTTCAACCTGCTCACAGACATTTTGTTTAAATCTCTAAGCATAGAAAAGGCGCAATCTTTTAAAAGGACCACACAATGCATTCCACCCTAGCATTTGACAAACACCAATATTTTAAAAACACCAAATTCTAACATCCTGCCTCTCAATCCACAAATACTTTACCCAACTTCATAACTGTGCATGGCAATAGCTTCCAGAACTGGCGGTCAATACCATAATTGGCATTGGCATGGTGACCACGGCACACAGAACCTTGGAGCAACTGCTATCGAGCAGCTTAGAGGAAACTTTGTCTCTGTCTACTACAAAGGCAGGGACAGCAGGTACATGGGAACACCATCCCCTGCAAGTTCCCCTCCAGGCCATTCACCATCCTGACTTGGAGATATATCATCGTTCCTTCACTGTCACTGGGTCAAAATCCTGGAATTCCCTCCCTAAGGGACATGTGGGTCAACCCACAGCACATGGGCTGCAGTGATTCAAGAAGGCAGCTCACCCCCACCTTCTCAAGGGGGCAACTAGGGATGGGCAGGAAATGCTGGGCCCAGCCAGTGACTCCCACATCCCCTGGATGAATAAATAAAAGGGTGTTCATGTCACTGAATTATTTAAAGTCTTCATTTTTACTTCCTCCAATTCTTTTCTTTCCCAAAATATCTTTCCCACGGGTAGCCAGTACTGTGAGCAGTGTGTGGAACAAGCTATTTGAGCATGACCACATTACCTTATTCCACTCTCACCTGACATCCTCCCATGAACAGCCTCATAGCGGACGTGGCTAACACTGTTTGCAATCGGAGGTAACACTACAGGAGCAGACTGTATCCTCCTGATTTGAGTTCATTAGATTCAGGACAAATTTAAACCTATATTTCCCTATAATGCTGTACAAAAGAAAAAAGATTTGCATATATGTAGCAACTTTTGCAAACTCAAGAAATTCAACAAAGAACATTTGAAGTGTGAGATAGTAGGAACTGCAGATGCTGGAGAATCCGAGACAACAAGGTGCAGGGCTGGATGAACACAGCAGGCCAAGCAGCATC